TGTGTTCAGAGACGCCTCCAGAAAACCAAGGACATAGGAACATATGATCAGACACAAACACAAGCTTGTTGTCATGATGCTGGTGTAATGTAGTGGTTTACACACTGCTGCATAACGGTCATAGGCCATGGAGTTCAAGAGAACAATTTCCACAACAACAAAGAATGCAAAAAAGAACAACTGAGCAGCACACGCATTGTAGGAGATGACCTTGTCTCCTATAAGGAATCCAGCCATCACTTTGGGAGTGACAGCTGTGGAGTAACCAAAGTCCGCCAGAGACAGGTTACTGAGGAAGAAGTACATGGGAGTGTGGAGATGAGAGTCCAGCAGGATCAATGTGATCACCCCCAAGTTCCCAAGCAGAGTGATGAGGTAGACGAGAGTGAACACCAGAGAGAGTGGGATCTGCAGTCCTGGGTCATCAGTTATCCCAAGAAGAATGAATTCAGTCAGCTCTGTATGATTCTCCATTGGGGTCATTGGTGCAGTATGTGAATATCCTATAGTAATGGGGAAAGAGAATCTAGGTGGTAACTGAGCTTAGATCCATCATTATGTCCAAGGTATGCCTTATATTGGAATTCTATGAACTTAACATGAGCAAAAAACAAAATATAATGATTAAATATTGGAAGATATATAGCTAAAAGGATTTTGGAGATAACATATCCAAATCTTCTATCCTCATCAATGGTTGAAATAAAAGTTCAGAGATGAAAATAGACTTCTGTGCAATCAAAGGATTTGCGACTGAATGAGATATGTTGGCCTCTCAATTCAGATTTTCAAACACTGGACACAGAAAAATTGTGCAATGAAATAGGTTAGTGTAATTTAATTCTTCTCATTTCAATTACCACTATTGTATCAAGAGCAGTATTATAGTCTAGCAAAACATAGTTTAATATATCATGTTCTAGCTTTCAGTAGTCTCAGAGGATAATAGGGAACACAGAATGTGGTGTTACTATATAGTGGGTACAAGAGGAATGCCTGTGCAAGAAATGCAGACATCCAGAGAATAAAAGTTAAAAGCATGAGTCAAGACTAAGGACATCTGGATGCAAATTCCAGCTCCAGCATGTACTAGATGGCTGACCCTGGGGATAGCTTGATAACACTTGTCCATCACTTTTCCCTTGAACTCATTATCAAACTGGAGTGATCATGCAAACTGGCACTGAAAGTTTTGGCACATTATGACTCGGGCAGAGCTATTGGTCTATATACTGATTAGAGGAGTAGATATTGTAATAGAGGAATCCAGATAACTCTGAAAACCAACATCCTATAACCTCATTCATTCCATTTGCTTTTGCCCCAAATTCCTTTCACTCTCATATTCTGTCTATAACTTCCTCCAATTTTTCGCCCAATATTCTTCTTCTACTCAGATAGTGCCCAGTACAGCTATGCCAAGTAAGGATCAATCTGTTTTCTGAGTCAGCTTTTGTATTAAGTAGGGTGTCTGAGCTTCAGTTTTCCATCTATAAAATGGATATAACAATATCGCTTAGCACTTAACAGAAATTCAATAAATGTAGATATTTTTACTATTAGAAGATAGCAAAGGCTCTATCTAAGGACCAAAGAGTAGTTGAGATTAGGAAAAGCTTCTAAGAGGGAATGAAATCTGGGATATTATGATCCATTCATTTTTCTTTGCATGAATTTCATTAATTAGTGCAACAGATAGTGATGGCTTGGACCAGGGTGGTAGTGAGACAGATAATGAGAAAAGATCCAATTCTGGACATATCTCAAAATTAGAGCTGGTTGGATTTTCTGATTTATTGAGCACAGGGCATTGAGGAAAGAGGGAACAATAATTCCATTTTTTGTATAGTGGTACAGGGAATAGGGTAGACGAACCAGATATTTGAGAAAGAGCAAGACAGATGATTCCAGGTAAGTCCTGCTGAGTTTGAGATCCTTTTGGCCATCTGACTCAGAAGGGCTGCATAAACAATTTAGAACTGCTTGCATCATATTTTATTATTTTGAACTATATTGGAACTTTCCGAATGGGGTAACCTTCAGATATCACATAAAATCCACAAAACTAAATGACACCACTAAAGGAAACAGCTTGGAGAAAACAAAAATCAGAGTATTATAATGTACGAATCAAGAACATGAGGCAATATAGTGTTAAGAGGAATATGGGAGAGAACATTACCATAACTGAGATGGCTAAAAGTGAAACGTTGTCCCAGGACACAGATTTCAGCTGGACCAAGCTTGTAAAGGGAACTTTCCGAGAAGAGGTTAAGAGTGTGTTGGGTTATGTTGATAACTGTCCATAAATTTCAGAGGGCCTGGTGGAACGATTTGAGGAGTTGATCAGCAGTCAAAGCTGGGAATAGAAAAAGGGTATGAAGGAATATGGTCATTATTTAACAGGGGTTGATGGCAGATCTGAGATTCCTCAGCTTCATGGTGAGTGACACAGTGACAACCAGGCTATTAGGCTGTGGAGTGGGAAGAGAGGGTCAAGGTCTTGACAGAAGCCTGAGGTTTTCCACTCTCTTCTTACTCTTGCTATTCATGTTAGGAAGGCCACTGGAGAATTTTCCAGAGAAGGCACTGTCTTGGTTACTCAGCAAAGTACTTACTTTCATCAGTAAACATATATAGATATCCAAAAATCTGGAGAAAACAATGTACTGAAAGGCTTTTCATTATTAAAAACTTTCTTTTTGATGTGGTATATTTATACAATGGAATACTACTCAGCCATAAAAACTGACAACATAATGCCATTTACAGCAACATGGGTGCTCCTGCAGAATGTCATTCTAAGTGAAGTAAGCCAGAAAGAGAAAGAAAAATACCATATGAGATCACTCATATGTGGAATCTAAAACAAACAAACAAAGCATAAATACAAAACAGAAATAGACTCACAGACATAGAATACAAACTTGTGATTGCCAAGTGGGTGGGGGGAGGAGAGATGGACTGGGATTTCAAAATTGTAGAATAGATAAACAAGATTATACTGTATAGCACAGGGAAATATATACAAGATTGTATGGTAGCTCACAGAGAAAAAAATGTGACAATGAAGATATATATGTCCATGTATAACTGAAAAATTGTGCTCTACACTGGAATTTGACACAACATTGTAAAATGATTATAAATCAATAAAA